TTAAGATGGGAAATCTCTCTCTCTCTCCTTCTCCTGCCTTCTGCATTTTTTTTGGTTAATCTTCTGCATTTTCTTAGCGTCTGTCCTGCTTCTTCATCCCTGTCGCTGCGCCGTTATCTCCTTCTCGCCGGCCGTCATCTCTTTCGTCGCCGGCTGCTCAGACACGCCTTTCGTCGCTGTCACCGGAACTCGCAATTTTCAGGCAAGTCCTTAAATCATTGGTATTGGATCAGTTGAATCACAAAGGTTTAAACTTTTCTGAAATTATTGTTTGAAATCGATGCTGAGGGTTTCTTGGATCATTCCTTACGAATAGATTTCTGACGGGTTCTTCAGATTTAACATAAATTTCTGTAAATAATTAAAATAGGTGATAAGTTTTTTGGGATTGTTTCAAAAAGAATATTTAATCTATAAATATGAGTACGCAAACGGATTTGTGTATTACTAACTCTGGATAGAGCCAGCCAGATCCTCTCAGATCCCTTACCGTTAGGGCTCACGCCCCCAACTCCTGTAGTCAATCGAATTTGATCCTTAGATTTTTCTTTTTTCAAATTTTCCATATTTATCTTCCGTTAATGGAAAGATCGCAACGGAATTAGCTCCAAGATCCGCGCTCTGCGCCGGAGGAACAGCGAAAAATAGGGAAAAAAATCAAATCTTTCTGCAGTTACGGATATCGGGTATGGTGGTAGAAGACGAAGATCAGGCGAAAGCCCACGGCGGCGGAGCCACGGCAGTGCAACGGCGGCCATGGCGATTCAACTCGCCGCTTGCCCAGGTGAGTCTCATGGGTCTGGTCTGCTTCTGCTGTCCGGGCATGTTCAACGCGCTCTCCGGCATGGGAGGCGGCGGACAGGTGGACCCCACCGCCGCCAACAACGCCAACACCGCCGTATACGCCGCCTTCTCCATCGCCGGAATCCTCGGCGGCGGGATCTACAACGTCCTGGGCCCACGCCTCACCCTCGCCGCCGGCTGTTCCACCTACGTACTCTACGCTGGATCCTTCCTCTACTACAACCACCACCACCACCAGGCCTTCGCCATCGTCGCCGGAGCCCTCCTCGGATGCGGCGCCGGACTTCTCTGGGCCGGCGAAGGCGCCGTCATGACCTCGTATCCTCCGCCGCGTCGCAAGGGCACTTACATCTCCCTGTTCTGGAGCATCTTCAACCTCGGCGGAGTCATCGGAGGCTTGATCCCCTTTGTCCTAAACTATCACCGGAGCTCTGCCGCCTCCGTCAACGACGGGACTTACGTTGCGTTCATGTGCTTTATGTCCGCCGGAGTTTTGCTCTCCCTGGGGATTCTCCCACCGAATCGTGTGGTCCGGGAAGATGGGTCGCGGTGCTCCGCCGTAACATACTCAAAACCCTCGACGGAGGCGGCCGCAGTCCTCCGCCTCTTCCTTGACCGGAAAATGTTACTCATCGTCCCGGCGGCGTGGGCGAGTAACTTCTTCTACAGTTACCAGTTCAACAACGTGAATGGCCTTCTGTTCAATCTCAGGACAAGAGGGTTCAACAACGTTTTCTACTGGGGAGCCCAGATGGTGGGGTCTGTCTTCATAGGCTATGTTATGGACTTCAGTTTCAAGAGCCGGAGAATGAGAGGGTTCGTCGGGATAGCCATCGTTGCGGTCCTCGGAACCGCCATCTGGGCGGGAGGGCTAGCGAACCAGCGAACGTACTCGTCCGAGGACCCACCGAAGGAGAAACTGGATTTCAAAGATTCTGGTTCGGAATTCGTCGGACCCTTCATGCTGTACGTGAGCTATGGATTGTTGGATGCAATGTTTCAGAGCATGGTCTACTGGGTGATCGGTGCATTGGCCGATGATTCCGAGATTCTCAGCAGGTGAAAAGCTCTTGAAGAACTGTTGGAGTTGGAGACTGACAGATTATGTCTGAAAGGAAAACGTGTCTGAATCAATTCTTGTTTACAGGTACAGTGGATTCTACAAAGGAGTGCAGAGTGCGGGAGCTGCGGTGGCGTGGCAAGTAGACACGCACAAGGTGCCGTTGATGAGTCAACTCGTCGTAAACTGGTCACTCACCACTCTGAGTTATCCTCTGTTGGCTCTTCTGGTGTTCTTGTCTGTCAAGGACGAAGATGATGACGACGAGAAACAAGACAAAAGCTCGAGCATCGACCCTTCTAATGCCGCCGCTGCCATAGCTTAACCATCTATGTAATAAGGGGCTGCCTCCATCTCTTACAAAGATCGTGTCTTTGTGTTTGAAAAAAATAATACATAAATTCAAATTTTTTCCACAAAAGAATATATTGAAACTTTAAATAAACTCGTTAAATCAATGGAAAAATTTGACGAAATGATATGCTAAAATGACAATCGGAAAGAAACCCGCATTCAACGTTCGATAATTCGGTTTGCTTAAAAAAATGAACCAGAATCTCTAACGTTAACAAAACCGAACCGAAACCCTAAAATTTGAAGAAAATCTCCAAACTTTGGAACCAACTCACTCCCTATCACTCTCACAGTCACTTCACTCTCCTCTATTTTCTTTCTCTTTTGCTCGATTCTTCCTTCATCCTCTTCGCTAACCGATTCCCTCTCTGTAAGATCTGTCGTCGGTTGTTTTCGCGGTAAATCTTTGCAACATCTTCCAATATTATAGGTTTGAGTTCATTTGGATTCTAGTTAACTTTGTCGGGTCAAATGACCGAGACGAATGCAAAGGGTTTCCATGCTTCTGCTATGAGATTGATCGATTCGATATACGTACATTGAGTTTGATTAGTAGATATTAGTTTGATTATATAGAAACATTCAAAAATATTTTTTTAAAAATACTTGAAATACTAAGTATACATTTTTATTTTTATTTTTGTGGATGATATCAATTCAAGATCATCATCAATGGTTACACCGATGTCTAACAAAGAGGATTGTAGATAGGAGTCAAGTCATGTATTTTGTTCGAATGGTTATGATATAAACTATAAAAGTTTCAAGTATGTAGCCAACTGTTATTGTAACTACTAAAGAGGGGTTAAATACATGGTTGCCTCGAATGTAGCTAAAGATAGAGTTGTGTAGATCAAAAAGTTTATTCGATATATATATATATACACACACACACTAAATGTTCAAAAAAAGAATGGTTTAAAAGGGGACGCGATTGGACTGGGTTGTATGGGTTTGTCTTAATTGGGCTGAAATAAGCTGTTTGGGCCGACTAGTGTCCAAGCCCATCTCATAACATCAAACGGTACAAGGAATATTTAAAGTAATCATTTTGGGCAAAGGGTTTCGTTAAATTTAAATTTAAATAAACTTTGACAATGGGTGTATGCGTAATTACGTATGGCATATATATATATATATATATATATATATATTCTACTGCTGCTCAATTATTGTATAACCGTAAGTGTGTGTATATTTATTTGGGAGCGAAAGTAAAGTGGTTATAATAAACCTTTGATCGGTTTGACCACAATTTCAAACGATCGGAAATCCACGTATTGACAGATTGCTGATGTCATTTTTTAAACTAAAATTGACAACATGCATAAGGTGACATCAGCAATCCGTTAATACGTGGATTTTTGATCGCCTGAAATTATGGTCAAACCGGTCAAAGGTTTATTAGAGCAATAATTTGCAAGTTCGAGGTTTTATTCAGTGACAAGTTACAAGTTCGGGGATTGAATGACAGTTTTTCAAGTTAAAGGTTTATTTGTATATATTTTTGCAAGTTCGAGGTTTTTTAGGGATTTTAACCTAAAAATAATAATAATAAGAGAGGAAATGGTTAGGATTGTGGTGTGTCGGAATTTATGGCTCCTCTCCCCAAATTAAATTGAGATGTGTATTACAGCTGGACTGTGATTGGCTCCCATATTTTATTTTCCCAAAAACAAACAAAAATCCCTTTTTTTATAAACAAAAATCCATATTTTATTTTCCCATAAACAAAAAACAAAATTCCCCCCTCTTCTTTCTCACAAAGTCAAGATAACGTAAGAGTGTGTTTTTTTTTTAAATAAAAAAAATTATGTTCCTATGTATATATTTATGGGAATTTCCGAATTTTTCATTGAGAGCTAAGAGGTCTTTCTCCGCCAACACATATGGAAATATTTAAATTATTAGCCAATTTGAACGCCAAGTTGTTGCATGTCAACTTCCAACAACTATAAAATACAATAACTTAATAAAACACCAATAAAAAATAATATATTAAAAAAAGTATATAAAATGATTTAAAAAAACTTTATATATATATATATGTAATTACTAAATAAACATATAATTTTTACTTTCATACAGATATATAATTTTTTAGAATATCTATATAAGTATACGAACTTTGAAAATATTAATGGAATAACAACAACTTTACAGTTTTAATAATGATAATAATAATAATATACTTCTTTCAACCTCTTCTACATAATTATCTTTATTAATTTAATTATATCGATATAATTAAAGCATATTCCGAGTTATAGTTTCGGAAATTAGGTAATGATGGATTATACGTGAAAGAATGTTAAAACTTCCAGAAACCATATCTGTTATCAAATAAAATTTTTAAAAAAATATAAAAAAAATAGAATAAACCCCGCGTTTCTCACCTAGTAAATTTTTTTTTAAAAAAAATAAGAAAATGGTAAAACGGTTAAATAGACAATTTGGACACAAACTCGTGACTCGTCAACCTACGGCAACGACATTGCTTCTTAAATTGACTCATTTATAATCACCTAACCTTTTTACTATAGAGTCCTAACGTATTATTACATTAATGATATTCATAGAACGAAAAAAATATACCGAAATTATCATATTTATTACGGATTATACAATTCAAATACGATGACCATTCGATTTGTGTATGATCGATCATGATTTTTTTTAAGGCTTTAAAATCTTCATGTATGAAACATATAATCACACAAATCGAATATCAATTTACATTTTCGCCTATACATACACCGTTATAATTATATATATATATATATATATAGATTTACGATATTTTATCAGGATACGACTAATATATATTTATAATGTATTCCGATGAGATATAAAAAATCTATACATATCTCTAATAGTTATCTATGTATAGAAATTAATTCTCTTTTTAGATTTTTCTTAAGATGGGAAATAATCGGATATACCTTATTTATTTATTTATTTATTGGTAAAGAGGAAATCTTATCTTATCCCAAACCCACCTTTTACATCCGGATATGAATGCAAATCTTTATTGGAAAATCGGTCCATTCGAAATTATTTGCTAATCAAGTATCTTTTTTGACTTCATGTAATAATAAAATAAATAAAATAGATAAACCGATTAAATAAAAAAAAATGGTCATCGAAAAGCCGTATCTAACGGCTAAACATCATTTAAAGCCAGAACCTACCAGACGTAGGGGTGTAAAATGAGCGGGCCGGGTCGGGTTTGGGCCGGGTTCAATTCGGGCCTAGAATTTTTCGAGCCGGACCGGTCCGCCTATTTATCTTTCGGGTCTAGGATCGATGGTCCGGAGCCCGGCCCTACAGGGCTTCGGGCGGGTTCGGGCCGGGCTTCGGACTTTTTATTAAATAATTTTTTTTTACGATAATAATAATAATAATAATAATAATAATAATAATAATAATAATAATAATAATAATAATAATAATAATAATAATAATA